ACAGATATGTCCGTTACGTCACAACATCCGTTTAGGATCGGCCACACAGCCCCATGCCACTACCGGAGCAGCCTGCACTCCGTGACAAACGAATTGCCACGGCGTACGCCCCGAGCTCCCCGGCATCCACGCAGACAGGTTACGGCCCAGCGGAGGAGGCAGAAGGCAATCTTGGCACGAAGATGGTGCATGACGACGGAGTACTGTAGGTCAGAGTGCTTCTCCACCACGCGCTGAACAAGCCGCTTCAGGAACATTCCACACTCTGCCCCAGCCATGCCATTCGTAGCAAACACCAACGGAGTGAAGGCACCTCGCTCGACGGTAGTAGTAGTAGTAGTAGTAGTAGTAGTAGTAGTAGTAGTAGTAGTAGTAGTAGTAGTAGTAGTAGTAGAAGTAGTAGTAGTACTAGTAGTAGTAGTAGTAGTAGTAGTAGTAGTAGTAGTAGTAGTAGTAGTAGTAGTAGTAGTAGTAGTAGTAGTAGTAGTAGTAGTAGTAGTAGTAGTAGTAGTAGTAGTAGTAGAAGTAGTAGTAGTAGGAGTAGTAGTAGTAGTAGTAGTAGTAGTAGTAGTAGTAGCTCGACGGTAGTAGTAGTAGTAGTAGTAGTAGTAGTAGTAGTAGTAGTAGTAGTAGTAGTAGTAGTAGTAGTAGTAGTAGTAGTAGTAGTAGTAGAAGTAGTAGTAGTACTAGTAGTAGTAGTAGTAGTAGTAGTAGTAGTAGTAGTAGTAGTAGTAGTAGTAGTAGTAGTAGTAGTAGTAGTAGTAGTAGTAGTAGTAGTAGTAGTAGTAGTAGTAGTAGTAGTAGTAGTAGTAGTAGTAGTAGTAGTAGTAGTAGTAGTAGTAGTAGTAGTAGTAGTAGTAGTAGTAGTAGTAGTAGTAGTAGTAGTAGTAGTAGTAGTAGTAGTAGTAGTAGTAGTAGTAGTAGTAGTAGTAGTAGTAGTAGTAGTAGTAGTAGTAGTAGTAGTAGTAGTAGTAGTAGTAGTAGTAGTAGTAGTAGTAGTAGTAGTAGTAGTAGTAGTAGTAGTAGTAGTAGTAGTAGTAGTAGTAGTAGTAGTAGTAGTAGTAGTAGTAGTAGTAGTAGTACCGTATTTCCCCGTAAGTTAGTTCTCCCCAATGACTTAGTACCCGGGTAACCCTCCCTATAAAAAATACACTTTCCACTGCCGAGGTTATCACCCCGAAAGACAGTCCCCCCCCCCCCGGCCCCGAAAGATAGTAAGTTCGTACCCGTCCTACCTACATGTACAGACAGCGTACAGTACATACATCATATGCACGGACACTAGAGTAAGTTGCGCAGGCTTCCCACTGCGTGTCATTTACCCCCGATAAAATAGTACTCCACGAAAGATAGTACATGTACTGTAGCACCCCCGAAAGTTAGTACTCATGTGGCTGCTAAGTAATACTAATAGTTCGAATTTAGTTAGTAGATCTACGTAGACTACTAAGGCGAAATACGGTAGTTAATCGACGCGGAGACAACAATTTTATAATAGCTAAAAAAAGAACAAATTCTGCTGTCATCGCCACACAACAACAAAGTCATGAAGGTTTACCAAAATCGATTTTTTTGTCACAATCATCAGTGGAAAGCCGTGACTGAAGAATAACCATGCTAAATCAATAATTTATGTACATTTCAACAGAGAAAACAACACGATCAACATTCAAAGACCTAGACGATCAGCGGCTAATTATTCAATGAATTATTACAGTACTGGATGTCAAGCACCGGCGAAGACACTGGGAACAGAAGATTTAACAACAATGACAACAACAACAACAACAATGGTAACAAATTACCATCAAGATCAAAGGAGGAGTCAACGAACAGAGGTTCAGCAACGTGAAGCGAGCCTGGGACCGATCGGTGTTGATGAGGAGAATGACACGGAGGACGACACTGAGGACAAGTTGGAAGATGAGACGAAGAATCGGATTGTGATTGTGATCGTAAGAAGTCTGCCGTTTTTCTTATCTGTTGTCTCAACCTAAGTGTCTGCAGGTGTATGATGATTTTAGTTTTTCTGTTCTTTGTCGTGCACGGTACGCTAGTCGGTTGAAAGTACTTGAGGCTGTTTGCATTCGTTTGCATAAGCCTGATCTTTGTAAGCAGAAGAAACATGTAGTTGCGTTAAGATTGTTTTCGTAGGTGCACAGCATGATTGTTTGTCTCACTACACAGTTCTAGTGTTGCAATTAGTTCCTCACCCCTGTTGCACTTACATGTACATGTAGCTCTCACTTTACTTCTATTGTCTCACCTTCCCTCATTCTATTTTAGCACTTTGTTTTGTTCTCGTAACACATTATTGAATGTATATAAATTATTGATTTAGCATGGTTATTCTTCAGTCACGGCTTTCCACTGATGATTGTGACAAGAAAATCGACTTTGGCAAACCTTCCTGCCTTTGTTGTAGTGTGGCGATGACAGCAGAATTTGTTCTCTTTGTAGCTATTATAAAATACGATAGTAGTAGTATTTTTTTTGGTATTGAGATTTTCTGCCATAATAATTATTATTAGTGCAATTAGGAGTATAATAAATGCAGACATGGCCAGACAACAACGAGTTCATGGAATTTTTAAGTATTTTTATGTTATTCAAAATCGATTTTCGTGTTCCGCTCATCAGTGAATAGTATCGGAACTGAGGGTACTGTGTACAAAAAATAGAACATTTTTTAACAGCATAATTAAAAGTCATGAAGTTGGTTGCTCCAACGAGGAGCACACGCTTCTTGCCGAACTTGACACTTGACTGACGACTGCCATCCGGAGCACACGAGGAGCACGTCGAACCTTCCGCTCAGCAAACCTGAAAGAAAGCACCACTCCCTGCTCAATACACAGTGTTTCGGGGAATTCGGGGAATTCACCCCTCATCAAGTTCGGCAAGAAGCGTGTGCTCCTCGTTGGAGCAACCAACTTCATGACTATTACCGCCGAAGTCGCAACTTCTAAGTTCATAATTAAAAGTGTGAACAAAAAAGTTGTTATGCTGTTATAAAATGCTCTAATTTTTGTACACAGTACCCTCATTTCCGATACTATTCACTGATGAGCGGAACACGAAAATCGATTTTGAATAACATAAAAATCTTTAAAAATTCCATGAACTCGTTGTTGTCTGGCCATGTCTGCATCTATTATACTCCTAATTGCACTAATAAAATTTCTTTCTCCACGCCGACTCTTTAAATAATTATTATGTAAGCACATTTGCTTTGCCCGTACAAGAGGCTTGTTTTACTAGTAGTAGATCTACACTGTACTAGTAGTAGTAGATCTACACTGTACTAGTACTAGAAGTAGATCTACACTGTACTAGTACTAGAAGTAGATCTACACTGTACTAGTACTAGAAGTAGATCTACACTGTACATTGTAGTAGTAGTACAGTGTAGATCTACACTGTACTACTAAGAGTCCACAACCCAAGAGTATGCAACTGTGATCTCTTTTCTATGGGCGAACCGCGCGGCGCGCTGCCTTCATTACATCATTCAGCTGCAGTCCGCGCACTGCGGAAAATCAAACACCGCACTTTCCCTCTAGTTTGAAATGAACTTTCGTACGGAACTGGAGTTCACGCGCCAGAATTCAGAGATTGTGTAGGTACTGGAACGAATCGTGCAAAAACGGATGGGCTCGTGCGAGAAATTGAGAGTTTGAATGCATGCTTTCAGAGCGTGATGAAGGCAAGTTACGTAATGAAGGCAGCGCGCGACGCATGCACCCATATACTCACAGTTGCATACTCTTGGGTTATGGACTCTTGCTAGTACTAGTAGTAGTAAATCTACACTGTACTAGTACTAGTAGTAGTAGTACAGTGTAGATCTACTACTAGTACTACTACTAGTACAGTGTAGATCTACACTGTACTACTACTACTACTACTACTAGTAGAATCTACAGTGTAGATCTACTGCTAGTAGTAGTAGTAGTAGATCTACACTGTACTAGTAATACTGGTACTAGTAGTAGATCTACACTGTACTACTACTACTAGTACTACTACTACTACTACTACAGTCCATTCCATAATAAGTGTGCACTCTTTTCCAGTCAAATGGCCAATATAAGTGTGCACTCTTTTCCATCTAGTCAAAGGGCCATTGTGTATGCCCCATGGATTCTACATGTAGGCCAGCGCCAGCCTGACAGGGGAATACCCCATGTGGATGCGTTGAGGTGATCAATAAGGTTCACGACTTCTTCAAAGACAGAGCAGCGGCGCAAGAAAATGCACGGAAATCAGGCAGCAAAGCGAGCTAAAAAAATCAATTTTCCATTTTCTCTCTCAAATTTGGACAGATTTTGATCCGGTTTCTTTTGAAAGGAGCAGCAAGCAAGCGTGCATTCACTAAAAAAATTGCCTTGTATTTGTACACAGTCGTGTGATCGTGATGATGGGAGCATGTAATAACAGTGCACACTTATAGGGAATGGACTGTAGTAATAGATCTACACTGTACTACTACTAGTACAGTGTAGATCTACACTGTACTAGTAGTAGTACAGTGTAGATCTACACTGTAGTACTAGTTATTAGTAGATCTACACTGTACTTTTACTAGTACTAGTAAGTAGTAGTAGTAGATCTACACTGTACTAGTACTCATGAGTACTAGTACAGTGTAGATCTACTACTACTACTTACTACTATACTAGTACTACTACTACTCGGGGGGAAGTACTAGTACTACATGTGTAGTAAAAGTACAGTGTAGATCTACACTGTACTAGTAGTACTAGTAGACTACAGTGTAGATCTACACTGGAAGTAAGTAATACAGTGTAGATCTACTACTACTAGTACACTGTACTAGTACTAGTACAGTGTAGATCTACACTGTAGAGTGTAGTAGTACTAGTAGTAGATCTACACTGTAGTGTAGTAGTATTAGATCTACACTGTAGGTAACGCTTTCTTGTGAAGCTTTTGCGTTCTATTATTTCAATTGAGTATTGAATGTTCAATTAATTTATTTCCGAAATTGGGTTGTCTTTTTGCTTTGACTCTTCCTTCATGGTGTTGTGAATAAAACCGTTCTCAAGTAGATCTACAGTGTAGTACAGTCATGTAGTACTAGTACTAGTAGTAGGTGTCGGCACTTCACGATCGATCGTCCTTCGTCCATTACTTTGTTTTCGTCTCTTTCAAGACTTTGTCCCTGGTCGCTTACAATTATTCTATAGTGCCAGTGGTCGGCGGTACGCTAGTTGCTGCAATGGACGCTGAGGAGAATGCGGTGTTCACCGCTTTGGGCTTGAACCAGGCTGAAGTGCCCTATCTGGGTACATTGGACGTGAATGAAACAGAGGATGAGTTGGGTCGAGGCTCATTTGCTGTGGTTTACAAGTCTAAATGGTGTGGATTGAAGGTGGCCGCAAAGGCACTTCATTCTATCCTGATTGATCGAAGAAACCAAGGACGCGACGTCGTACTGCATGATTTTGGAGCAGAGATTGCACGCATGGCACGTCTTCGCCACCCGCATCTGTGTCCTATTTTCGGCGTGTCCATGGTCGGAACAACTCCAGCCATTGTGGTGGAATTGATGTCCGACACACTGGAAACAATGAGCGTTGGTGCACGCAGACAGGACTTGCTTCAGCTGATGCGCTACATCGAACACACTGCTGCAGGTCTTCGCTACTTGCACTCCATCCCGATGGTGCATCGCGATTTGAAGCCAAGCAATGTCCTTGTTGCCAATGGTGTGGCCAAAATCACGGATTTCGGCGTCTCCAAGCTACTGCCTAGCGTTGCCGATCTGTTCCGTGAAGCCGCTCAGTCCATGACCCGACAGCCTGGTACACCGTTATTCATGCCGCCAGAGGCGTTGCAAGAGACGGAATCTGGCCGAGCAAGGTACGATCTTTCGCTTGACGTCTTTTCGTTCGGAGTGACGGCAATGAGCGTGCTGAGCGGTGTGATGCCCTCCATTGAGCTCATGTTCGCAGCAAGATCGCGCCAGGCAGCTGACGGCAGCCACGTTGCTATACCTGAGCTGGAGCGGCGACGCGCGGACTTTGCTCGCATCCCTGACGGCCACCCGCTGAAGGACCTGCTGAGACGCTGTCTAGCTGACCCACCGGCCCGTCGACCAGATGCAGAGGAGATTCACGAATTCGTCCAGGGTGTTGCTCAGTCCTTGTCCTCATTGCCGCAGCAGGTACGTGAGTGTTGAATTGTTAGAACTACAGTGTAGGTTAAAAGAGGATAAATAAGAAATGACGTCAATGTTGTATTGTTGTGGCACGAGTCCCCAAGAACTAAAAGAGCTTCATAGTGTGTACCTTCCTTTGCCTTGCCACCTGGACATCGTCATTTTCCTGTGTTGAAACTTCTCGATATCCGGGGGAAGAGGGGGGGGGGGGGATGATGGGGTTGTGAGGAAATCTAGAGTTTCCCACGGTCGTTGGTTCCAACATTATCTTGAAGCCTGCAGTCCACGAACGTTGAGACGGCCATGTACATTTACATGTACGCACCTGTCATCTGTAAAAATCCCCAGGCGTGCGCTACACACTACGCGTTCGCTGCAGACTACGCGTGCGCTGCACTGTACGCGTGCGCTGCACACTCTGAGTGCGCTGCACTCTATGCGTGCGCTGCAAACTACTAGTGCGCTGCACACTACGCGTGCGCTGCACACTACGCGTGCGCTGCACACTACGCGTGCGCTGCACACTACGCGTGCGCTGCACTCTACGCGTGCGCTGCGCTCTACGCGTGCGCTGCACACCACGCGTGCGCTGAATTCTACGCGTGCGCTGCACACCACGAGTGCGCTGCACTGTACGCGTGCGCTGCACTCTACGCGTGCGCTGCACTCTACGCGTGCGCTGCACACTACGAGTGCGCTGCACTCTATGCGTGCCCTGCACACTACGCGTGCGCTGCACTCTACGTGTGCGCTGCACACTCTGAGTGCGCTGCACTCTATGCGTGCGCTGCACACTACTAGTGCGCTGCACACTACTAGTACGCTGCACACTACGCGTGCGCTGCACACTACGCGTGCGCTACGCGTGCGCTGCACACTACGCGTGCGCTGCACACTACGCGTGCGCTGCACTCTACGCGTGCGCTGCGCTCTACGCGTGCGCTGCACACCACGCGTGCGCTGAATTCTACGCGTGCGCTGCACACCACGAGTGCGCTGCACTGTACGCGTGCGCTGCACTCTACGCGTGCGCTGCACTCTACGCGTGCGCTGCACTCTACGCGTGCGCTGCACACTACGAGTGCGCTGCACTCTATGCGTGCCCTGCACACTACGCGTGCGCTGCACTCTACGTGTGCGCTGCACACCATGAGTGCGCTGCACTGTATGCGTGCGCTGTATGCGTGCGCTGCACCCTACGCGTGCGCTGCACACTACGAGTGCACCGCACTCTACGCGTGCGCTGCACACTACGCGTGCGCTGCACTCTACGCGTGCGCTGAACGCTACGCCTGCGCTGCACTCTACGCATGCACTGCGCACTATGAGTGCGCTGTGCATTACGCGTGCGCTGCACACTACGAGTGCGCTGAACGCTACGCGTGCGCTGCACACTACACTGATTATATTGTAGATGAATGCATACGGGTATAACATTATTCTTACACTAGACTTCTTAAAATTCGGATGTTCAGCCAATACAGTCGTATTTAAGCAAAGAGAAATGGGAGGGAGAACTCTCCGCATCTGAGCCTTCCAAGTTGGAAGGTTGTTGGTTTGCGCTTGGTAGATGTGTAAAAGCTAAGTGTTAGGTGGTTGAATGTTTCAATGTCATTGTCAGTGTTGTCCCTTGTTGTCGCACTAAAATGAGTAAATTATCGTGTCCGTTCCCAAAGAGAACTCACGACAGTCGCTAACAAACTGGTCAACCCTAGCGGCTGGTCACAAGTGCCCAGTTGACTGTGGCCCATAAGTGGGTAGCAGCACGGCTGGGAAACCGCTCCTAGGCAGGACTGGAACAAGGTATCTCTTGTATCTCAATGTTGGTCTTTGACCAAACCACTGCGCCTGCCTGTTGTCGCACTATCAGACTGTATAATGTCTCGTCGCCTTGTTGGACTGTTAATCATGACTCGAAGCTTACTGGTCCCTTTGACTCTAGACTTCATTTCAATGAAGTCTAAAAAGAATTGTATGGTTATCACGCAACAGCATCATAGAAAAAAGAGTTTTTTCAACTGATAATCCCTCTATTTAGTTGCTATTCACGATCTACGGATGCGCTGCAAATGAAAATTCTTTTATGGTTGATGTAAAGGTTATGACATTTCGAGACAGTCACCCACCCCCTTGTAAATTATTCTGTTGATGGGTGACTGGCCCGAAACATCATATTTTTCACATCTACAATTTCATCTGGCTTTGGAAATTTTATTTTCATTGCTATAAGGTTCGGCCTCATTACCTCTGTGCTGAGCTGATGTGCCTGCAAAGGGCGAAACAGTTCTGTCCACAGATTGAGTACATCTACAATTGATGAATATCCAATGCAGCAGAGAGAATCATGAATAGCAACTGGATAGTGCGTTTGTCAGTTGACAAACCACCTCTTCTATCACTCATTTTATTACCATCATTCAGTTGCAAGCATACCACGAGTGTATTAAATTAATGGCATGTTCGGGGAGCAGGTTCAATGCTCGGTGTCGTGTACCGAACTGAACCGTCTTTTGTTGTGTAGAGTAAGACCGGCTCAGTCGGATCAGTCAACAGGCAATCTAGAGTTTTCCCAATAATAGAGATGCCTTAACAGCTTTCACTGTCCTTTACGGCACTCACTGGCCTTTTTGCTACATTAGTTGTGACAGCATTATCTCAAGGTGTGCCAGATCCACAGCAGCCATTACATACCACAGTACAGTGTGACATTAAAGCCAAGACCTTTGGTCGGTGGAGCCCCTGGTACCTCACCATCACTGCTGCCCAATGCAGCCCCTGCTCAGTAGCTGTTTGTTTTTGTCCACATAATTATTTATTTTTACGAGTTGGGTTTGTGTGTATTAATAGTAATAAAAAACACACACCATCGTCCAAGCAATTAGTTTCCTCACTGCAAGCTCTATACATGTAACCTTAACCAAATGTTGGTTCAGGAGCCACGCCGAGCATGTGGTTGTAATTATAGGATTAGTAGAGAAGAAACCACTTGATTTGACAATGGTGTGTGTAAGGTTTTCTAAGTTCCTTTGCAGCTGAGGTTAGGCTTGCTTGTCCATGGTGTGAATGGCTTGCAGTGCATACATGGTGCGTGCAATCACGTAGCTTACTGTTTATGCTCTAGAGTAAATGCCTTGGTCTGTATGTATGTGTAGGTGTATGTGTAGGTGTATGTGTACGTGTGACCGAACCTGCTCAACCCCCCATGGGGTCCGCATAGCCAGAATATGGCAGCGTGTCCAAGGTCCAAGGTGTACGTATGTGTACATGTGTAGGTGTGCACGTGTGTGTAGGTGTGTGCGTAGGCGTGTGCTGCTTCTGCGAGTTAATGTGGAGTGCATGTGGGGGTGTCTGTGGGGGTGTTCGCGCGGGGATGCTTTCGGTGGTGTTCGTGGGAGTGCTGTTTGTGAGAATTAATGTGGGAGTGCTTGTGTGGTGTTTGTGTGGACACCTGTGCGGGTGTTTGTGAAAGTGTTGTGTGGTCCTGGTGGGGGAGATTTTGGGTGTGTTTGTGCTCGAAGTTGTGTGAGGATCCTTGTATAGGGGTGGGTTTTTTTTGTGGTTTTTTTAAAGAGAACACAAACCTACAAATCATGTTGAAAGACAAAAAGTACATTGCACTGGGTAGGCGCTATCCACAATGCCAGTTTATAGCTGTGTTGATGAAATACATGGACTCTGCCGACCATGGGTCTCGGCGTCACAGTGCCATGTATGCATCAAAATTAATCATAAGTTTATAATGAGCCAACATAAGAAAGTGACTTAACCTTTTGCACCCCGCGCCCGAGTATACTCGTTTTGTAGCATGCCCTGCTTTCCCAAGCCTGAGTATACTCGGGTAGAAAATGTACTGTATGTACAGTGAACTCAGATTGCGTATACCTCGCTATTCAAACATTCGTAACTCTGTTATACTTTCTTCGATTCTCACACCTGACGGCTCGTTGGAAAGCTGAAGGAATAAGCTTTCCAATGGTATGTCATTTGCTGGGGCGAAAAGTAAAATACCGGAGCGCCGAAGGTAGAAACGCAATTCACGGGCCGAAATACAGGGCACAAAATTTCGCACCTTGGATTTTCGAGTGGACATCGGCAGGGAAGGGACTTTCCCTATGACTCACAGGGGCACAGCCCATGCGTGTTGGGTACCAAAATGAGCGCTTGAAATTCAGGAATCTGAGAGAGTTTGAATTTTTGCTCTGCGTTGAGTAAAACTGTAGAAGCGAAGAAATTTGTGACTGGGTGTGGAATATCTCTTCGAGGCCCGATAGAGGAGCTCTCAACGGAGTGTGAAGGCAACTCTATTGCTCCTGCTGAGTGATTATTCTTTTCATTTGGACAGAGAAGGCTTCAAGCTTTCCAAAGAGCCCAAGATGATCCCGTCAGGCGAAATTACTGGTCAGTCGGCGACACGCATTTTTCACAAAAATTTGCGTTTCACCTGCTGGGAGAGTATGCGTGTACTCGAATCTCATCCTGAGCACGTTTTTTTCTTTCTTTTTTCAGCTCCAGTATAGCTGTATTTTTCATTGCAAAGCCCTCCTCGATTGATGTGTTCGTTGTTCAAACGAAGTGGACATTCAATCATGAAGGCAGAGGACATAGGAGCCTGATTGGAGTTTCTCGTGGCATAGGACGGCCACACAGAGACACTTTGGGATTTTCTGAATATAAAATACCGTACGCACGATGCTGAGATCAATTTGTGCGATATCAAATTGTTTGTGATCTACCACATCGAGCAGAACGGGATCCAAACACAAGCTTACCGACGGTTAGGCTGCCGACCTGACTGGACAAATGATCCCTGGCTTCACCAGACGCCAGAAGTCGGACACCATGTCCTTTGCCGCGACGTCCATCTCCAAAAAGAACTCCATCTTCGTCGTGAAATGGCTTGAAATACTCAATATTCAACCGAGATTCGCGGTCTCACCCTTTCTCAGATCGAATCATTTTTTGTTGTAGCAGTTGCAGGGCAGATCCCTGCCACTACTTCAACAGAA